AGCGCGCTGCAGAATGTATTAGCATCAGCCAGTTCTTCCACCTTGTATTTAGAGTCTTACCAACTCATTCTCATCTTTTACTGCCAGAGCTGCAGCAGATAATGCTGGCGCAATATCTACTTCCTCCACATCCTTAATTTCGGTATAGATTTTCTTCCACTCATCGATAAAAGGGCCACTTGATGTATCTTTTGGTAGAATTCCGACTTTCTTCTACAAACGAAGATTTGTTAGACTGTTCTTGTTGCGCATAGTAATATTGTTCATGACTCACCCCTGATGATTTAATGACATCTGCAATTTTTGTGAAAAGCTTCTCGTTGGCTGCTGCATCTTTGCCTCTAACCAAGACCTCGAGAGGAATCTTTCCACCTTTCAAAGGTTCCAAATGCTTTGCTATTCCAATATTAGCTTCCAATTTGTGGGCGCATATAGAATGACGATTCACGCACCTTTCTTTGCCGTTGTCACAATGTATAAAGTATCGACTGTGAAAAGGAAGAGCGTCGCAGGAAACTCGTAGCCTAATAACCAAAACTATTTCTTCATCAGCATTCGACCTTCCCTCCATTATACTTTCTCGTGAAACATTTCGCAGGTATTCAAACTCACATGAATCGCATTATTTTTCTGAAAGCTTGCCACATCCTCCGTCTTTCCCATTAACACCAAGATACTATTTGCGCCATTGAAAACCGCGTCGCCGCCTCTCTTATCAGCTTTCCATGATGATATAAAGTGTGATAATCGTTCCTGAAACAAATTCTTGTCAATTCTGATATCCACCATGATGATTCTGAATATTTGTTGATGGTATAGAATTGAAGTGGAGCTTGTTGAAGAGAGAGAGAGAAGATATCAAAGAGGACGACGCGATGGTCGAAAACTCGCGTTGATTGAAATTGAGAAATTGCGTATGTGGTCTTTAAGGGTTGATAGAATTGTTATCTAAGTGAGCTTCGATAGCTACATTGAAAAGGGATTGTTGACGAAATCTAACGCCGAACTCCTTTTCAGCCTCATTAACCTTTACTATATATAAGGCTGCATGAAAGGCTAGCAGTTGTACATCGAATAGCTATGATGGATTTGCATGCTTTACTGACTTCCGATAACTACATCCTATATTCGTTCATTAAGTCAAGTCTTCTTTCCAACCTGTCTATCGATTGTTCACTAGCTTCGCGAGCAATATAAAATAAGATACACGCATGTTGTCTCCCCATTTATTAATGATTCAACCAAGCTTCATGAAATCGATTTTGGGTATACGATTCGAGTACAAATGGGCATTAAAATTTATATCAATAACCTATGTACAAGAGAAGTTTAATACTACGCCTACTATACGAGCTACCCATGTTCTTATTTTAATATCTAGTGCTAACATGGGCACTTCCAATCATCCATCTAAATTAGATGACTGGGACCGAAGTCATTCGGTATTGTTATATATGGTATATAACCTTAAAAGATGCCCTTTGATTGGATTAGCAACGAACTAGAGCCGATCAAATTGATGGAAATAAGGCGGAACTTACTGGAATGAACAGATATGGAACCAATCTTTCGTACTCCTCCCAAGCCTCTCCATATCTCTCCCGGCACTTTTGAATGTCTCTATATGCACGATGAGAGATCATGCCGGCAAAGAAGACACAATAAAACCAAGGGAATGGACTCTTGAAGCCAGTAATAAGTCCCCAGCAGAAAGCGAAGAAGAAATCGCAAGTGTAATGGATTTTGCGAGCCTTTCCGTACCAGCCATCAGCCAAAATTGAGTCACCGGTTTTGGTTTTGATGACACGTGGGTTCATGACCTCCTTCCATGGCAATTGGGGGAATGCTTTACGATCTGTGACGGTTCCGCGTTCACGGGATCTGAATCTGTTCTTTTGACTGTTGGTGGTATCCCAGACCCAGTATACGAATAAGTACGTCGTGTACAAGAAATAAAGGAAGTACTTGTTCCACGAATACTCAGATGGTGGGTGGTTGGCCAAATAAATGGTGCAGTGACAGTAACTGAGAGGAACTCCCGCGAGATTCCAGAAAATCAACATGAATCCCCATTTCTCGTAGTACATGTCCCTAAAAGAGTTAGTAAACTGTATTTAGTGAGGTATGTATAGAGATCTACATACCAGGTTGTTATGATCAATTCTTCTCCTTTAGCGCATGCATTTGCATACAAAAAGTGAGCCATGATCAAGAATCCGACTTCACCTGATACATAACCATATTGTTCATATTGTCTTGCAGCAGCGGCACAGGAAAGACCCAAGAGAATGAACCAAGGTAGACGAACTTCGAAGAACATTTTGAAATCCAAGATACCGAACATTCTTGGATTCAACTCGGCACCCATGAAGAAGTCATAAATTGGATAGCCTGTCATTCGGTGTTGAGCTCCACGTGCCAAAGCCGACAAATAAGCAACAATTGAGACCAAAAATCCAGAGCAAATGGCCACCGACATTATTGGTCCAAACTCATCCAAGAGAGTATAGATTTTGAAAATGTCCAAGTAGTGCAAAACAACCCCGGTGATGATGGTGAAATAAAAAGACCAAATTCCAGAGCAATAGTATGGCAATTGCTTACCTCCCTCATGAGGAAGCGGTTTACCATAACCCCAAACTCCTGGCATAAGGCAATACAAGATAGCCTCAAAGACGAAGAACACCCAATAGATTTTCCAGGCACGAAGACTTGGGTATGCCCCTGTGTAGACGAGATCACCCAGATGTTTCACAAAATCGAGGAATTCTTGACCTGGTTCCGGTGTGGGGAATTTCCCATCATAGTATGTCGCTCCAATCCACATATACCACATGAGACAAGGGAAGCCAATCATCATAGCACTAACGCCGAAAGAGCCACCAAAATCGAAATGGCCAGAAGAATCAATCTTTGGATCGTTTGTAACCTTTGTAGATTTTCCGTTAACTCCCTTCTCCTCGGTTTCGCTCTTGACATTTACGCTTCCACTCTTCAACGATTCGATCGTATTAGAGTCATTCAATGCTGAAGTAAAGCCATTCATTGCTGCGCCATTACTGACATGATCGTTGGCTGTTGCTGTCTCGACCATATTGACTTTGCGACTCGAAGATCTCATCCTGGATGGCGGATTATCTGTCGCGGAGGAAGAATCGTCTGCGTCTTCTGGGAATTGTGACTTTCTCTGGCGTCGGATTCGTGGAGTCTCGACGAAACCAGCACGTTCCGTTTTTCTATATAAATTGTTAGATTCCTCTCCCCAATAAAAATGGAAGAGAAAAGATAACAGTGTGTACTTACTTTGGCGTCTGCCGCAAAGAATATCTCTCGCGTCCTTCAGACATTGTGTAATTTCGGAACGGAACGATAGTTGGGACGAGTATAAACCAATAATTTACCACATGTAATTTCAAATGAAGCGCTTGTAAGGAAAGTGCTATAATAGAAGCTCAAAGATCATGATTTCACACGCGTACAAGAAAAAGTGTCAACAAAATTATGAGAATCAAATCAGTCTCCATTTTACATTGGGAATTATTTAAAATTAATATTTGTTTACTAGTTCCCGTAACCCATTTCAGTCGAGCCACTCGGAAGCCATACAATTGGGTCGGATTGATCTTTCTTCATCCCCTGTGACTCCTTGAAATAAAGCCTTCGAGAATCGAGTAACGTGATTCAAATTACTTGAAAATACACCAAAATTAGCCATTTTTATTATTCCTATTTTAATAACTAATTCTTATTTTTAAAAAATGAAAAAATATAAAATAATAATAAAAATGAAATATCTATAATTTTTAATTTCTTTATAGATATTTTAATTATAACTCAAAATTGTTACACTTTGTATTACAAAAATCTTCTTTTTCAAATAACTCTTATATTAATTAGAATTTTGATATAAAAATTAGATTTTTATATTATTTACATAATTAAATATTATATATTTAATTTCTAAAAAACTATATTAATAAATAAAGAAAATGTATGATTACATACAAACGGATTTTGTATATAAAATGAAGTGATTTATTCGGTAATATGATCCACTCGCATATGAATCACGTTAACCCTAGTAAAAGATAGAGATCTTAATTGACAAATTACGTTTTACATGAGTTTAATAAAGGAGCAAGGATAACAATGTGCGTATGGGTGTACCTACGACCTATTAACCTTAAGTTACGAATACGATATCGATAATAGTGTTTAGTCAGGTAGTATTGATTAGACGTATTAAATGTATTATTATGTAGGTATTAGATATCTTGGGTGTATTAAGTGTATCAAGTGTTGTCTAGGTAGTGACAACAAATAGTTGCGGGGCTATTTGCCTCAACCAACTCATCGATTCAAACATAAAAGGAATAGTCGAAACATTGTATCACCAACCGGATGTATGATGCTTTGTCAATCTTTATACCTACTATGTAGGTAAGCAGCTCAACATAATCGGGCTTGCGTTTCACTTTATGCATCCTAGCTGAGTACAACACAAAATATTATCTAACATTATGTGACTCCTTATTCATCGCTAATTTTTTATTGCTATGGTCGGTTGCGAATAACCATTAGATATTATACATAGAACTTCCTCGTAACATATACTGTATTTTGCGCGCCAATTCCCTCCCTAAACATGCGCCAACCGCTCATGCCATAGAAATGATGCCAAAATTCGGAAAATATCCGAATAAGTAATGTACAAGAAAGTTGCAATGCATCTTTTGTTAACCCTAATATAAGACTAGGTCAACCGCCCATCCAAAATTTCGTTGCTGAATAGCGAAACATGGATACCTAACTTTTGAAAGGGACCGCACCTTCAGCACGAATCATCTCTCTTCTCGTCATTTCATCTCATTTTCTCGTAATTTTCATCATTTTGAGAATCAATCATGACATCCCATTCAACGACCCGTCCGGCCTCCTCCGCCGTCCTCATCAACCTTCTATCCACCGTGCCCAGCCCTATCATTACACCAATAATACCCTCATACTTTCTGATAGAACAAAAGATACGCGACCTTGTTATCCATGAGTGAGGATTTACCAGCCCCGTATCCAGTGGCAGGTTTGGACTTTGGTGTGGAAGCGCCATTTAATACGCTTGACCATTTCTTTCCAGACCCACTGGCTTGTTTCCATCCATCCTCTTCAGTTTCTCCATTTTCTTCTCCAATTGAAGCAAAAATGTTTCCTGGCGATGAACTATCCTTCTTATGAGCCTCCAAAGCAGCGGCCAAAACCTTTGGATCTTCTTCGCTTCCTCCTTCAGCTACATCTTCACTCCTTACACGCTTGATGACAGTGTCGTCAAGTCTGATCCACTCCTTCCCATCTTGTCTTCTGACGTCTACAGTATAGTGTCCACCGCTGGCATTCTTACCGTGGTGATAGACAACGCCAATTAGACGATACTTTGGATAGCCATCATGAGCAAAAACACTACGCTTAGTTCTTGGGAAGACTTCCTTTGGTAATTCGAGTTCCAAAGGATATCCAACCTTCTTCCAAATCTTTTGTGTGCCGCCAGTGTTGTCGTATTGGAAACGCTTCAGGTGCAAGATGAGTACAGGGGGTACTGTCTCAATGAATACTTGCTTTGTCGCGGTTACATTGGGACCCTTTGGAGACTTGAAATCGCCATGAAGGACCTCTGAATGTGTTAGGCCTTTCAAGGCATCAACGATGTTATGGATATCTGGGGAACCGATATCCAGTTGTAGTGGCTGATATGGCTCAAGAGTAATGGAGTCTTTCAAGCCTGGTACACGCAATTCGGATCTCAAGCTACCACCAAAGATTTTAGTGACTGGAGAACCAGTAAGTATAGTTCCAGAAGATCTGGTAATAGCAGCTTTTTGTTTAGGTCCAACCTGTTGCCATACGTCGTCAACAGATCCGCGTCGGCTCGCAGTATCGCTGATAGGAGACGAAGGTACGTTCATGGGTGTGGTGACAGCCGAATTCTTGCTCGAGTCACTTGACTTCATGACATATACACATTCATCATGAAGCCCTTCAAGTAAAAAGCCAAGAAATTCTTCCGCGTCTTGTTGATGGCCTCTCTATGGCACGTATTAGTAAATGCAAACTCAAAGGATACACTCAAACTAACCTGCATTGTGACAAATCTCGGTAAACGTCGCATGACATCGTAGACAAAATCTGGCGTGAAAGAATCTCCATATTGCTCAAGTTTTCCTTCCTTAAGTCTCATTTTGAGTTGCTCAGATGATTTTGCAGAATCAATAACTGAAAACTCCCGCATAAACATGATCCTTGTAGGTAGTTAGTGACAATCACACAAAATCCATTGTTGGTACACTTACATGGCATCAATTAAAGGTGTTTGACTCTTGAAGCTATGCGCTGCTTTCTTACTAACTTGATCAAGAAAGTCATAGAAAGGGGTACAGAAAACAAGAACTTGTAAAACCGAGTTCATATAGCACATGTTACCAGTGTTCACTAGACCTCGAGGCTCAAGGAATGATATTTTGGAGTCCTTGGCTTCGGCCTTGAATGAACGCAATGCTTCAGCTAGTGATTCCGAATTATTTTTGCCGAATTCGGAAGATCCATTCTGTCCACCATTGACAGTGGTAGGAGCTGTAGGAGCGCCAGATGAACCAAAAAGACCAGTCCAAGCTCTTGGTGTAGCCCACGCTTTGACAAGGGGAGGTGTTTCCTTGACTTCTTCAGAAGTAGGGCCATTGGCATCATTCTCATTTGTCACTTCGGACTTAGTCACTTCTGCCTCAGCTACATCTTGGCCATTGACATTTTGAGAATTCGTCGATGGTGTACTTTTTGGGTGAGATTTGGTAATGGCACGTATGGCAGGGACGGCAGGGACAGCAGGGACAGTAGCTCGCTGGGATTTTGTAGCCACAGGAGTTACTTCTCCACCTGCAGGCAGAGACGAGGCTTTTGTAGAAGATGGAGTAGTTGGCACTGTAGATCCAGTGTCTTCTGATGGACCTTGGGTAGTAGTAGGTGTTTCAGGTGTAGGCTCTGAAGCTTCTTCAATGCTCGGCTTTGGTTCTGACGATGATTCTGACGTCTCCACGCCCTTCTTCGACTCAGTATCAATCTCCTTGTCTAGACTTGGAAGCTCCACAGGGTTCGTAGACAACTCTGGACTCTGCTTTCTTTTCCGACGCCGTCTGGTCGGCCAGGGTGCAGTAGTGTTGGGTGATATCCAAGGCAGCTATTTATGATGTCAGCAATTGAGCAATGCGTTTTCAAGAGTATAACATACAGGTGCCTGAAAAGGTATGTAGTGTTTGGGAGCTGGAGGTGGAGACTGAGCAACAGGTTGTATTTGTGGAGTTGGGGGTGTGAGAGGTCCTGCAGAAAGGGTGTTGGACGATTGTGTTGAGAAGCTCGAGGGAGTTTGAGGTAGTGGAGGCGCGGGAGCTGGCTGGTAAGACGACGCAACTACTGGCGGGTGAGAGGCAGCAATAGCAGGCGATGGCTGAGGTCGAACGAAAGGTGGTGCTTGGGGTTGAAGCGGAGGTGGTGGTGGGTGAGTATAATGCGTCATCATTGGCGGAGGCGAGCGACCATAGTGTTGGTATGGGTTATACTGTTGAGTCAAGCCATTATTATAATATTGAGGAGGCAATGTTTGTGGATGGTAATAATTCGCGTTGTACGGGTGCATGTACCCATTGTACAGAGGTGCCGCCGGTGGATATGGTTGAGCTTGATGACTATAAGGTCTCCGTCTTCCTAGGTCTTGTTGCATACCTTGCCCTGCCGGCAGATGACGACCGTTCATCATGCCGGCTTGCTGAAGTTAGTTCTTTCCAAACCTACCTCGTCCAGGTTGGTTTGGATTGGCAGGAGCTGTCGCGCGAAACTGATATTGGCTCTTCGTTAGATGGGGGGGAGCTCTTTTGAGTATATTCTCCAAAGTACTAGCGCATTAAATAGAAAAGAGATCTCTGTATTTAAAAAGCGCGCGATGGCAGTACCTTCAAAGATATATCTGCATAAATAAAGCTATTGATATAAGTATTATTTAAATATATGATGTTGTGTTATACTGTTGGATTTGGGGTAGATAGATTTCCAAAGTCCTCCAAAATTATGGAGATCAAAAAAGAAGATGACTGAGCCAAAAAAGTGAAAGCCTTGCCAAGACTTTTTGCCCCCAAACAAACCATAGAGGAGTGAGTGTATGTAATTTTTACCTATATATATGTACCTAGAACAATTAAATTGGACTGGCTCTCATTGTACGCCGACGAGAATGGTATAAGAAATGAATGAATCATTTCATATCACACATGAGGTGGAAATCTACATGGCCTTTCTAACTCAAAAATGTACCTAGGTCATGCTTTGAAGTGAGTTAAGATATATCTTCATACATTTGAATATTCTTCATGGTCTCAAACATATCCACCCATACCTCCTCTAGCTATCTGAGTACATAGGTAAGTACAGGCTGGTATGACGAACGATCTAATTGCGTCTTATATCTCTAATGTTTCCCTATCCCCTAGACCGCCAACTAGCGGCGCCGTTGCTTAATATACACTTACTAACCAATCAAAACATTGGAATCCTACGGATTCTTATCATTTTATTACGTTTTCTTATAATAACTACTCAGCATTTGTTATTTAATAAAAATAAATAGAACGTTTTTGATCCTGTATATAATCTTTTAATATCTTCTTTTCTTTTCGATAAATATTGAATTCTTGATTTGATATATATTTTTAAGTATAAATTATATAGAAATTGCTTATAATGGTCTTCTATTTCCTAAGGTTTTCGAGGGTAAAATATAATAATATTTATAAAATCAATTCGTAACTACTCTATAATTAAAAAGCTATAGGGATAAAACTGATATATTTATTATTCTTTCTTTTAAAAATTTTAATCTTTATATATAATATTGAACTTTTTATATATAATATTGTTAATGAAGTTATTGATGTTCTTGCTTAGTGCACGGACCACATACGGCGCCGCTAGCCAGCGGTCTAGGGGACTCGCGACCTCGAGAAAAAGCCGGACACTAAAATTCTACACTTTAATCAAAATTTAATATCAAAACAAGAATATTGAATTCTTTGATCAAAATTTGAAGATTAATAATTTTACAAATTCAATTTTGAAAATATTGTAATATAAAAACGAGTTTATATTGAATTTTGAAAAAGATTATATCTAAATCCTATTTTATTTTTGCGGGTTTGGTGTCCGGCTTTTTCTCGAGGTCGCGAGGGGGATAAGATTACCGATAACATTGAGGGAACTGGAACTTTCAAATCGCCCCTCATCCTCATTAATAAGTACTACGACGTAGGTAATCTGGAGTGACTCTTCCTGTCCTCTATCAATAACGTCCTTGTGGCGCCTGAAATCTTCTCCAAATTCAACCTACCTGGATCTTTTTACCTTTCATATTAGAGTTACTTCGTCTTATTCGTTTGTCCATCCTTACTCTCTCATTCTTTTTGTTCAATCGTTCTACTCCAGCTTTGTATTTCATACTTTTCGACCACAGTTTTACACCCGATTGTCTTATCCGAGGGACCGACGATTATCAGATCGGATCTGATCGAGAACATTGAAAAGTGCAACAAATCTATCGAGCAACCAGACATCACCATAGGGCATATGAAGATACACCACTTAGAGCCATATCATATCATCTGATACTTTTCTATTTACACATTCAATCAAATCCCCAGCCTGAGAGCCCATTTGATTATCAAGCCTGGATTGGAACATTGAGAAGTCTCTATATCTAAAGACTTTGAACTATGAACCCCGTTCAGCAAAGCGCGTCATCGCCTAGTGGAAAATCTCTCAGTACCGCACATAATCCCACTCAACAACAACAGAGTCAAATTACATCTCCAAGTTTCGAGTCAAATACAAGGCGCTCTGGTAGTCAATCAAGTGGTATATCTGCGGCTGCTAGAAACAACCAAAGTCAACGAAAACAACATCGAAATTCCAAGAAACCTAGGCTCGCGGATGAGGATGCTATGGCGGAATCCGTAAGTCGTACATTTCTTCACCCTCCCATTATTTGCATTCCTGTTCCAGTGGTAGATTGCAAGCAATCGGCACAGTACAAAATATCAGCTCATTGCAGATGATTAGGATATTTCATTTTCATTTTCATAAGCAGATTACAGACAACCAGTGGTGCTAATACTGCCAGGCGGCTATGAGAAATGCCAATAGTCGGAGAGGACAAACATCAATTACACATCTTATGAGTTTCGCTCTTCCACCTAGGCCACAGGATTATCGAAACACAATCGCAAGAGGAACAAGACGTGGAAATATATATGGAATTGGATCTGGCCATCATTCTAGTGATAAAGCTAGGTATATTCACGCAAATTATCGGTTTATTGTCAGGCCAAATGGAGATTACAAGCAGCAGGCTCTGTTCGCAGACCAGCCTTTAGACTGGAATGATGTTCTTCAAATTCTCGCATCTGCCGAATCACAAGACACATCATGCCCAATCTGTCTCTCGCATCCTGTAGCTCCTCGAATGGCAAAATGCGGACACATCTTTTGTCTGCCATGTCTTATTCGCTACATGCACTCAACCGACGACACAAATCCTCTACCGGAGAAAAAAGCTCGATGGAAGGCATGTCCAATCTGTTGGGATACTATCTATAGCTCAGAAACGAGACCCGTCAGATGGTATATTGGACAAGAAGGGCCGGCTCCTCGTGAAGGAGAAGATGTTGTATTACGATTAGTTATGCGACAACCTGGTAGCACTTTGGCACTGCCAAGAGATGGTGCGGATGTACTCGATAAATCGGAAGAGATTCCATGGTATTTCGCTGCCGAGGTTACGGATTATGCTCGAATCATGAAAGGAAGTGAGGAATATATGATGGAACAATTTGGATTGGAAATTGAGGCATTGAAACAACAAGAGAATGAGGATGAATTGATGTTTGGAGAAGAACCCGAGTGGACTCGCAAGGCGGTCAATTCTGTAAACGATGCGAAGGAGAAAGTAAAAGGCATTGGTGGGCCGCCACCTCCACCAAGTCAGCCAACAGAGAAGAAGCCCAAAAGGCAACCTATACAGTTCAATCCTGTCGATGAAAATTCTCCAGAGATGTACTATGTTCAGCAAACCTCAACGCTATCTCCATCGGCTGTTCCTTTCCAATTGGATTCGACATTGACTCCACCACTACCTTCGTCCAATCTTGTTCCGATCTCAGATCCTTCACAATCCCAATCAGCGAGCATCCAACAAAACGACAGGCAATTACGTCCAAAGAATGCCCAAACAAACGAGAGAAATTCAGATGCCCCATATTTATTTTATCAAGCTCTTCTTCATTATTATCTCGCTCCCCTCGATATCAGAATTCTCAAATCAGCTTTTGGAAATTTTGCATCATTTCCTTCAACATTACTTCCCCGCGTCGAACGAGTATCTACTCATGTGATGGATGATGAATTGAGAAAAAGAACCAAGTATTTAGCACATTTGCCATTTGGCTGCGAAGTAGGATTTTTGGAATGCAATTGGACTGATGTCGTTCAACCGGAAATCTTGAATCAGTTCAAAGAGGATATTGAGCGACGAAGGAAACGTAATAGGGACAAGGAGGTTCGAGAGGAGAAAGATAGACAGCGTGCCGAAAAAGCAGAGGATAATGCACGTTGGGCCACGGCTCGACAGAAGCAACCCGAAATACCGCCGGCAAACTATTCCGACATCGATTACACCCAGCTCGCATCAGCATCTATTGACCCGATCGATGCATCACCTCCTTGGACTTCACGTCAAGGCTCTTCTTTCGGAGCATTGGCTTCACCATCTACGAGCCCTCCTGCGCCAAGAACTGTTTGGGGAACGACACTGGTAACACCATCTTCGCCTGATCTTCATCCTCAGTACAATAGTAATGCGGATGATGGTTGGCTACCAGGCTGGGAACAAGAGCTTCAAGCAGAGAATGATGCATTGATTGCTCAAATTCAGGCGGCGTCTTTGAATGGAGAAAGTAGTTCAAGTGCTACGCCTCCACCAGCACCTCAAGGGAAGAAGAAAAAAGGTAAGAAAATTACATTAATGAGTACAACAGCTAGAAGAGCTGCATGATTGTTCGCGAAGATTGGAAGTATGTATTTTTTCGAAGAATTTGGCGTTCATAGTGATATCACTACAGAGACACGATGCAATATATTCATTTTCAATGTTCAACAATATGCAGAATAATGCAGGGTTTCCCATAGTCTGGACTGTATTCTGACAATGCAAATCATTTCTTCCTGAATTCCAATCGCCCGGTATCTTAAGACCATTCAAACATCGGAGATTTTCAAAGCAGTCAAGTCATTGCAACATTCAAGCATCTGAATTATCCAAATGAACTCACTTAATACATCGGATTATTTTCAAGGACCTTCCTTTAAAGCTCACATCTAGTCTGCTCATCTCGATTATTGGACACCCACACAACATGATGTTATGCAAGTCTGGTCTCATTCTTCATATTTCGTACGGACGAAAATAATTCTAGAAGTAAGTTCAATTTCTATCAAGTGTTATGAGTGGCGTTCTGGAGGGTGTAACGGCTTCCTGGCTTGATTTCAAATGCCATGGTAACACACTGATCTGCACCCTCTTCCGGTCTAGTTCAACCGTCACAAGTAACACCCTCATCTTTCATTCTTCTAGCTACTTCCGTCAACGAACCATACGAGCTGAAATATTTTTGTTGGAATCTTTACTTCCAAGCTAAAGAGGGGTCAAGATATCCCACTTGGATGTCTGTGTCGCTTAACAAACATCCCACGTCTTCACAACAACTCAACAACACGATATCTTTCTGAATTCCTCATGTCCAATATTGACTTCGGCGGTTTTATATGACCGAGTGGTCTGCCATACATTACATATCAATTGATTCAACAATTCCATATGTGATGCAATGCACGGCCCGTGCCGCGATAGGAAAACTTCCTGCAGCTAAAGTCTCGGCGCAGATCATAGTATCAATCAACAAGTTGAATAATCCTATCAACTATTTTTATCACCATCTACTATTATGTCAACAAAGATATACGATATGTTTGAGCAGCATGGGAAAGTTCAATCCTCTCATCATTCATTGGAATCTTTATCATCCTACTCCACTATCTAACCATCTTTACGAATTGTTCTCGCGAGCAACGTTACGACAATATTTCTAATGCTCTCGATCCTTTAGAATTTCTTCGTAGATACCGGGACGTTCCGGATTGTTTCTATTTATATGCTTATTTGTATTTCTTCAATGCTTACGGAACGGGGACTCTGGAGCTTCTAAATCCGAACGTTTCGCGGGACGTTTAACGATGTAACCTCAAAGTCGGTCGGTGTTGAAAGTCCGGTAAGATAGATTCGCTTAAGTCGGTCATCATCAGCCACGTTTACACCCCTCATATCTTCACATCATTCCCATGCATTCATTATTATCATTATTGTAGATAGACTATGCTCTAGAACGATATAGTCGGACACCCATCTTATTTTAGGATTTGCAGAGCATTTATTGAGTATGATTGAGATGCACTTACGTTTCATTTTCAGTTCCTAGTACTATACATATGCAGGTCCATCAATATCATCCGAATAACCTATCGGATAGTGTTCGATGCCGAGATAATCAGATGTGGAAACACTTTTCCAAGCTGTCAAATACCCTACTCAATACGAGATATATCGCTTGGGGCCAATGAGACACAGCTACGCAAAACCGAGTCCATGGGCTGAAAATAATCTTCAGCATGCTATGTGGGTTTGCAGAATTACTTTACTTGATTACCAGTGCGAATAAACCCCGCGGAATTGATTCGCTATCGTTTATCAAAATTCATGAATAATCGTAGGTTGGAAACTTCCACGCCACATTCAGTATGCGAGCTGGAATTTGAGGTCAACATGTGTATGGCTTCGATCTAACATACCTACGTCATCCTGCTCTTTTCCCCTCTCAACTTCACATGTCCAAATGTGAAAAGATAATAGGATCATGTAATTGATTCTGTCATCGCTAGTGCAAGTTAACCACGATTTCGGAACCCGCCTCTGAACGCCCTCTGGTCTTGATATCGTTGAGGAAATATTTTAATGATACGAGGCTCTCGTGCTTCACAGCGTGAGTTCCAATCGGCCCGTGCTTTCACCTGTCAGGCTATCGTATAGAGTGGGAAGACACGAACTGCATATTCATGCATCTTACTGTGTTGCGTGGAGGAGGCGTCTAGAATGTATGTAAAGAACAAGGCTAGGTCCTTGTATATTCATGTTATGTCGTATTACTCACAAAGAGTGGGACGAAAGTTCATTCTTGATTCAACGTTGCTTGATATTTTGGTTTGGTAATGGTGCTGAGGGGCAAAGGTGAGATGGGGTGAGATAAGATGTGAGAACTATATATATTGGTGTTGGCTCTATGTTTTGAGCTTTCGAATATCTCATCATACGATTACACCTTATATCCAACTACAGTTTTATTCGATCACCACAACAACTGCTGCACAGAACAATTCGGACTCAAACATCAATATCACTATCATCCAATCAATCATCTCATACTACATCTTTGTCCAAGTTCAATCAAAATGCTCTACACAGTTCGTCTCCATCCTCCCCCCATTTCAATCCATGCATACTAACAATCTTCAGACCATTCTCCCTCTCACTCTCCTCACCGCCGTCCTCGCTTCCCCGGTACCCGTCCCTGCCTCTGTCTCCCCAACCTCCACCTGCTCCACCCTCACCACCAAACTCGATTACTACCAAGGCTACCAATCCCCATCCCAATGCGGCATCAATGTTTTCTCAGGCAACATCACCGCTGGTGTTTGCGTCAATATCCTAACTCAAGGCATCATGCTTTTTCCGGCTGATGCGGATTGCACCTATAGTATCTGGAAAGGAGTCACCGATTGTAGTGGTGTTGTTACTCAGAGTTTTGATTTGGGAGTCGCGCAACAGGGTGTGCAGAGTGTGGGAACTTGTGTTGGAACAGGGGTTATGGATGGAGGGAGATTTTATCATGCTAGTGGATTTTTGAGTTGTGGATGCAACTAGGCACCTCTATCTGGATATGCATAGGGTTTGGAAGACTGGGTCAACGGCAGAAGACAAGATGTGCTTTTATGAATCATGAACGAAGGACTGACTTCGGATGCATGAAATGATGGGAGTTGTTAATGTTGGTTATGATTGATGGGCGGATTTTCGGTATCTCCTTACGCTTGCCTGGGATGGATTGATGGAGTTACAACTATAGACAAAAGTGAATGCTAGGAACTTCTTTGCTTGCTTTCAGCATACACAATTATCCCATGGACCAAATTGCCGTTGTCATTTATCTTTGTATGTAAATCTTTTGGGGTCAAATTAACTTGTGTTTACATACCGTCGCGCATCTTTTTCTCGTCATTTTCATGAGTTCTCTCAAGTCTTCTACCAATGGCATTCTATCAAATTAAAAATCGTTCACAATTAGTCTGTCTCCACAGCAGTGGCTCCAGGAGGGCCAGCGGGGCATCATGGCGCCTGAAGTTTGGAATAGCTTGATTTACTCTATTTCTATTAAATATGACAGACTGAATAGTTGTTCTCCCTCCTTTTGATTGTTCCGAATCAGGGATTTGTGTGAGATAATCTTATTTCAATGTCCATCTTGAGTTCTAAGTAAACACATGACTCGTGAATAATATACATGTCTTGTGCGCTACTTCATCCATCTTCCTCTAGCAGAGAAATTAGGGGAAGTTTCTATTCCATCTATTGCCAACGCGCATGTGTAGGGCCTATGTAAGAATCCAGCTTAGGGTCACGAGGAAATATAAATGCTACTCCACATTTCAACAACACTTGCACCCCCACATCCCACTCTCCCACTCTAGTGTTCTCCCGTTAATGACTACCGCTCGCCCAATTTTTGGCAACGTCTCAGTACCTTTCTAGAGATAATTAGCCGATCTAGCCAATCTCTACCAAGCTCGCGCGTAACCTTCCTCAATTGATTGACGGATAAACAAACATTTATCTAATCGACGCACAATGATGCAAGCAACCAAGAATCTTCATAACTTATTATCGGAAAAATGCGGGGTTGGAAATCTGGGGTCTTGAGATTCTCCCCCAGTCGGGACTTCAGGATACCCCGTGGGGACGCTCCATATGTTAGCTTCGTATCTTAATCACCCCGAAGTATTCCACATAATACACGGGGAATTACTCAATTTATATGATTTTCAGTGCTAATTGCCGACTACATTGCCTTTGTTTAACCGCTCGCTCATTGTCCGGTTTTCAACGCCGATGAGGTGGAGACGAGGATTGATTCATCGCGCGTCTTTTGATTTCTACTTAATTCTCAGTACCACTACATAATTTATCTCGAGAAGTCACACGTCGAAGGGCTTCTCACTTTTTACCATTTCCCTTCTTCTTCTCCGAGAGATTAAGATAGAGGGATAATAGAACCATGGACCAAAACAAACAAGGAGAGGGTGAAGTAACTCATCTCGAGGGACCTCCGATTCAACAAAGTAATCATCAATTCGACACCCTTTCTCCGCAATCTTCATTACCACCATGGAAGCCATCACAAAGGAAACAGCCAGAGGGCGATACAGCTCTTGCTTTATTCCAAGATACAGAACAATTGCATCAAGCGATTGATCCTGTCGAAGAGAGGAAATTGATTAAGAAAATCGATATGGTCATCTTACCTTGCTTAGCTGTCTGCTATATGTTCTATTATGTATGTTTGTTTTTCCACCCTCAAAGTCTGCTTTTCTACCTTTTCCCCCAATAACAAGAATAATCCTAACACGAATCAGATCGATAAAACCACCCTTTCATACGCCGCCATCTTTGGTATAAAAGATGACCTTCATCTCGAAGGGACAAAATACTCCTGGCTTTCAAGTATCTTCTATTTTGGCTGGCTCGCCTGGGCCTTTCCCACCAATTATTTGATGCAGAAGTTTCCGGTCGCAAAATACCTCGCTTTTAATATCTTCATGTGGGGCGCTCTTCTTATGTGTCAGGGTAAGACTTCCTTTTCCTTCTACATTTGAAGCTGGAGCTTTCTCCCTCGTGATTCATATCACTAACCTTCAACAGCTGCCGCACGCAACTTCACCGAACTTGCCGTTCTCCGCGCCCTTTCCGGTGCCGCAGAAGGCTGTAGTGATTCCTCATTTATGATCATTACATCCATGTGGTACACACGACGTGAGCAACCCATCCGAATCGGCCTCTGGTATTCCGCCAACGGTGTGGGAATTGCACTCGGAGGGCTCATCGGTTACGGGATCGGAAATATCCGCGGGTCTTTAGCGTCGTGGAAATATGAATTTTTGATTGTCGGAGCTTGTTGTTGTATTTGGGGAATTGTCTTGTGGCTCTTCTTGCCTGACAGTCCTGTTACGGCAAAGGTGTTGAGTATTGATGAGAAGCGGATGGCGGTGGAGAGGTTGAGGGAAAATCAAACGGGAGTGGAAAATAAAACTTTCAAATGGAAACAGGTAAAAGAATGGGCGGGAGATTATAAAACTTATTTATTCTTCTTGATTGGACTTGTGGCGAATATTCCGAATGGAGGAATTAGCAATTTTGGTACCTTGATCATCAAAGGGTTTGGATATTCAACTTGTAAGTTTCCCCTTCTTTTTCCGTTTTCCTTGTGACTGTTGTCAAAATCATCAATGAATATATGAATCACAACTAACAAATAAAAGTGATAACAACCATCATGCAAATCCCCTACGGTGTTCTCATCGCCCTCAGCATTCTCCTCTGCGTCTTCCTCAACGATCGCTTACCTCCCAACAACCGCTGTATCATGATTCTCATCTTTCTCCTCCCCAACATCACTGGCGCATTCGGACTTCAATTTCTGCCTCAGACTCACCAGGTTCCTCGTCTCATAATGTATTACCTAACCGGACCCTACAATGCCTCTTTCGTACTGTTACTCTCGGTATTATCGGCGAATACCGCGGGCCATACAAAGAAAGTCCTCACGAACGCGACACTTTTTGTAGGTCTTTGCGTGGGGAATATTTCCGGTCCGTTCTTTTATAAGAGTTCTCAGGCTCCAAAATATCAATTGGGAATATGGAGTATGATTGTGGCGCATTTGGCGGAAGCCGTGTTGATTGTTATTTTGAGATTTTTGTTGAAGAGGGAAAACGAGAGGAGGGATTTGCAGCAGGGAATTGATGTGGCGAGTGGTGTGAGAGAGGGACGAGGAGATGAATTTGCGGATGGGGATGAGCAGGAAAGGAGAAGGAGGGATTTGGATGATACTGCTTTTGCAGACTTGACAGACAGGGAGAATGAGAATTTTAGGTATATCTTTTAATGGATAGATGTTGATAGGGTGGATTTGAGGAGGGGTAAAGAGGACTGGTGACAGGTTCCAGAATATCCATGGATTGGACAAAGATGCACACATGAGCATCAAGATATCATAGAAATGGTAAATTTATAATATTCAGAGTAAGATATCATAAATTAAGAAATCAATTCTCATAATCTTAAATTCCAGACTAGGAATTTCAAGATGATCATTCTGTATCCTGTAAAGCCCCGCTCTACAGCTTTGGCACACAATTCTGGCATGAGCTTGCAACGAGGAAGAAACAATAAATCATTTTCATATTTGAAATGAAAAAGTAATTCGACGGCGCACAAAAATGAAGGGTGAGATTGAACTACAATACACGTAAGCACCGGCAATAAATTTCAAAAAACAAAGAACATAACTTACCCATAACTCCAACATCTCTCATCTGTCTCTCCCCTCCCCTCCCCCTCCTTTCCCCCGACTGCTCAAATATCAACCCCTCATAAGAATCTAAACGAGTTCCAAAGACTACCGGCAACTTGTAAGTCCCCTCTCATTCTCTTTCCCAAACTATCCTCCACCCAAAAGTAATAAAAAAAAACAAGAAAAGTTTCTCATTATCCAGGCATGCAGTCGATGGAAACCCCGGTGTTCGCCTGAAGTCTTCTTGCACGTCTCACCTTCAGATATTGCGATAATATTGAATCAATGTTTGCTTAGAATGATGCTTCCTGAGACCTGGATATAATTCCGCAAGATCTTCTTCTGAGGTGAATAAATGTACAGGCAGTCCCGTCTAGAAGATTCAAGGAGGTAGTCGGTTGCACATCTTACCCCTTGTTGATTCCCAGTCGCTCGAGGTATTTGGTAAATCTTTCTTACGAATCCTTCATTGATGGGAGCAGGTAAATACATACATAGCCATACAGGGCATCACGTTACCACCACGAAGAGATATTTGTTGCGCGTCTTACCTTCGAAATTTCCGGAGAAGTGCCAGGATAAAATTGAAAGGGGGTATGTGTTTCTTGTGTCTGTCTTACCCGAGTACTCTTTCCAAGGAGTTCAAATATCTGCGTACCCAATCGTATCCAGCGCTTCTCATCACCATAACCAAAGGAAATTTTGTTGCACATCTCACCCGAGAATCCGGTTTATGAATGAAAGTCAATAGCCACAACTGCTTCTCTTTTACATCTTATTTCCGAACTTTCCGAAAAGAATCTTAGTATATGGGAAGGGTAAACACCGAACAGCAACCAGAGGACTTGATAGATATTTTGTTGCATGTCGCATCCCCGAGCCTTCCGGCTGCAGCTGCTGTGAAGAATGTTCAATCCTTCAAAACCATTTGTTGCATATCGCATTCCGGATTTCCCGGGCATAACAGAACATATAAGAAAAGTATATATGATATGGTGAAGATTTATTGTACATTCCATCTTCCGAGGGTTCCGGTAGTCTGAGGATATTACCACTAGGTCGTCAATGCGATAAATGTATATATAGAGAGCAAGAAGAAAGAGATTATACTAGACAAAAGAAAAGTCATAGTCCATTTCAAGAGAGATGACACGATCATCTGAGGATAGAAGGCCCCATCAACGAATGTTCTCACTGATCGATCAACCACTTTCGTGGACATAGATCACGTGAACATGTACTATTCATATCACACGGCTAGGGATTTTGAGCACTACTCATTGTCTATTCACGTCCGAACTTGGGCCACCGAAACGCACGCTTTAATAAGACGATGTTTCGAAGATAAGATGACTCGACATCTCGAGGTTTTGCAACATTCATTGAAAGCTTGAATCGCTTCATCAAAACCTAAGTCAAAATGTTTGTCTGGACTTTGCGTTTTGTCTCGGGTCTCGATTCTGTAACCATCAAAGCAGCACCCCTCCAGCGAAAAAGAAAAAGAGATCAGCCAAGAACGCGGGGCATTGACATTATAGATTGACAATGGGGTACCGGTCTCGAGCCGGGACGTGTCGTTCGTGATACCGAATTACGAAATTAGCCAATTGATCGGCACGTAGCGTTGCGACGATTCTTCCACAGATGGCTTGGGATCAAGGCGAAA